AGCGGCCGCGCTGGCGGGCCACATCGGGGCGCTCGTGCGAGCGGGCGGTGTGGCAACAGGCCGCATGGGCCGAGTGGGCAGCTGGGTCACGGGGGGCGTTTCCGCTCGAGGAGTGGGAATGGGAAGCCGCCGCGTTGCTCCTCGACCTTTGGAAGGCATGCGAGCAGGTGCTTCGCCCTCGCCTGCTGCAGGCAGCGGTGCGGTACAAGTGCCCGCTCTGGCTATTGAAGTTTTCAGTCGAGCTGCGCAGGCCCCCGCGGGCGTTGGCCCTGGCGGGTGCTGCGTCGGAGGCCATCTCGGTGGAGCCGGCGATCCTGGCAGGCGCGGGCTCGCGACCGCGCTCTTGAAGCTTCAGCTTCTCGAGCCCTTCGATGGGGCGCCCAGGGCGGCCGGGGTCTCGAGGCCGCCGTCGTGGTCGACGACGTGGCGCTGTCTCGCCGCGGCGGCAAGCAATCGCTCTCGCTAGAGATCGCCAAAGGCGCCCGGGTGCTCCAGCGTGGCCTCAAGGATGTCGTGTTGCACATCGCCCTCAAGAAGTCCCAGGTGGTGGCCTCGTGGGCGGACCTCAGGGCGGAGCTCCAGGAGCAGCTGCAGTGCGTCGGCGCGCAGGCCAAGCAGCACGCGCGCGACGTCGGCGTCGACTTCGGCTATGGGGAGAAGCGGCAGCTAGGCGTGCTTAAGGATAGGCTTAATAAGCGCGCCCGCGACCGAGTGCCAAGGTTGCGTCGGATTCTGGGCGCGGCCAGCCGCCGCCGGGCGGCGGCGAAGGTCGTCGAATGCGGCCTCGAAGCTAGCTGTGCGTGCGGCATGTGCGTGACGGGCGCCATCAACCAGGAGTTGGACTCGCTGCGCAGCATCGCTTTCAGCGCGACGGGGCCCAGGGTCGGCGGAGAGGGCTTGGTGCTGACGCCGCGACTTCGACCCCGCCCATAGGCGCAGCCTGGGCGCGGTCGCCACCTTGCACCGCGCGCTCTGGGAAGGGTGGCTGCCCGCGCAGCTCTTGCAGGACGGCTTCGCGGCGGAACTGGCGCGGGTCCATGCGTGAGCCCAGGTGCGCGGGCCCCTCGGCGCTGCCATCGTGATGCCGAAGCGGCTAGGCTGGAAGATGGAGGGCCTGGGCAGCTGGACGACCACAACCGAGCATGAATGCTGCCCGCTGCAGTTCGCGCCATGGACGACCAAGAAGCTCGTGGCGCAGTCCGTGGGGCGCTGGCAGTTGTCGAAGGTGCTCGAGCGGGCAGTGTGGTCGCGGGGCGTCCCGCCCTGCCGGCAGCTCCGCAGATGGGCGAGCGTCGGGAAGGGGTCGGTGGCCGATGCCAAGCGATGGCCGCCGCCCACCGACGAGGAAAATGGCCACGTGCGGTTGGTCCTGGTGGATGGCTCAACGAACGCAGGCACGCGGCGCGGCCGTACCTCGCGCGGAGCCCACTGTGCTCGAGGCGCGGGGCCGCGCCGGGCACGCTCCGGCGCGGCCGTGGTGGGGCTGCAGGCGCGCGGCGACAGCGACGTGGTGCGGGCACTGGCTGGCAGGCTGCTCCTGGCCGACCCGCGGCACCGCTGGGCGCCCAGCTGCGGAGACGTCCTGTGTGACGTTCGATGGCTGGTCGGCGGCGGCGACCCGTTGCTAGGCGGCTAGGCGTTCGTGGGCGGCTCCGCCTTCGACGCGGAGGCCACCGACTTTCTCGACGCGGGGGCATATATGGAATGGGGTCTGGGCCGCCATCGCCGATTTCGGCGGCTTGGGCCCCGGAGGGCTGGCCGTCCTCAAGATCGTTGCGCACGCGACGGCGCGGGGCGCCGAGAGCGGGCGGGTGTCTCGGCGCGGGCGGCGCGGCAACTTGGAAGCCGACCGCTGCGCTAAGGCGCGAGTAGCAGAGCTGCGCGCTCCGCCGGCCTTGCCGTCGCGCTGGGAACGGCGCCGCCTCGCCCTCGACTGCGTGATCTCCGGGGTCGCCAGTGCTGGTTGCGCGGCGGCCCGCAGCCGACGAGACGCGGGGGAGGGCGTCAGGCTGGAGGTGTCGCCTATGGTGATTCTGTCGGTGGCGCAACGCTACGTCGCGCAGCGGGCTGGGCGCGCGCGTTGCCTGCGACGCTGCCGGTCTAGCTCCTTCGACAAGGCGGCTGCGTTCTGGAGCCCACCTTGCAACGCGCGGCTGGGGGGTTCGGTGCGTGGCGGCGCGGCCCCGCCAGAGGGCCGCGCTTCGTCTGCCGCTGCGGCGCTGGCCTTGGCGGCTGCGGCCGCGGCGGCCGGGGGCGACCTCGAGCTTTCCGACGTGCTCGGGGTCGGCGAGGCTGCCTTTGACGACCGATCGGATATAGCCAGGGTTCCAGTTAGGGGGGGCCGCGTAGTGATTGGTCCCCGAAGCCAGAAATATCGATTGGAATCGTGCTTTTCTCGGGTTGCGGCAAGTCTGGTTAGTGGAGGGGGGCGGGGGGGGGCGCCGCCCGGTGCGCATCGCTGAACCAGGTCGCGCTAAACCCAGTTCTGCCAGCGCCCGAACCGAGGGCGCGCCATCAGGATGGCTTTCGGATGTTGCTTATGCGTTAAGTGCGGAGAGCTTTCCAGAGATGTGCAGGGGCGATGCAAGCTTCTGGGGGCCCAGTGCACGGGGCGGTTCGGCCGTGGGGGCGCGACGGGCCGTCTAGAGGCCGTTGGCCGCGCACGCTTGCGAAGGATCACGCGGATCCTTGAGGGGCGCCATCCCGCAGAGGCTGGCCGCGAGATGTGAGCAATGACCTGCTCGGCAGCCGAGCAGAGCCCGTGGCGAACAATAGAGGTGAGACTGATATAGAGAGATGCCCTTAGCGAGTGGCGCGCGTTGCGCCGTAACTTCTTCAACGACATGTTCTCGCGCTGGGGATTGCCCGTTCTTTAAGTGAAAGCTCCTGGGCGAGATCCTGAGGCGACGGCTTCGGCGACGCCTAGGACTGAACGTCATGAAGGTTTCTTTTCTTGCGTTGACGATTGCCCGACGGCCCATGGCGAAGAACCCCCTCAGATCGAGTTTTGGCGCTCCAGTAATTGCATTGCTTTCGTGGTCGACTGCATGCCGGTGGCAGACGTTGTTGGTGGTCAGGTGCCTCTTCGTACAGACAGCTTGTTTCACCTATATGAGCGTCTTACAAGCACGAAATCCGACTTCATTTCTACTGGATGGACACTTGCCACGAGCATCGCCGACACTGTCCTCTGGCACAGGCGCGACAGCAATCTGATTGTTGATTTCCTTGCGAATTTCACCATGGAGGTCGGTGGGGGTTCGCCCAAGGAGGTCGCGCCCATGGTCCCGAATTTCAGTCTTTGCGACGCAAACATTATCTGTCATTCTGATGGCGGCACACGGAAAGACTCTTGTTCGGCACCCGCTTTGTTCGTCGAGGCGGGGTGGTCAGATGACATCATTGTTACGCGTTTCCATTGGCACTCCGTCGCATTTTCTTCAGCACGCCCGTCTTCTCGTTCACGGCAGAGAGCGTCACTGTAGATGACGTTGCCTAATACGTCTCCCGCAGGATTTTGGACTGTTGTTCTGGTCAAAGCAAGCGTATCTGTGCTGCTTGACACCACATTTTTTCTTGCCAGTTCGCCTAACACTAGTGTGCTCAAGGGCTTCTGAAATAAATAAGAGATACCAAGAGAGAGACAGAGAGAGAGAGGGAGACGAGAGAGTGAGAGAGAGAGAGAGAGAGAGAGAGAGACAGAGAGAGAGAGAGAGAAACGGAGCTCCCACCCCCACCGACAGCACTGATATATAGAGAGATACCAAGAGAGAAAGAGAGAGAGAGAGAGAGAGAGAGAGAGAGAGAGAGAGGGAGAGAGGGGGGCGGACAGCCGCCCACCGAGAGCCGCCCACCGAACTCGGCCGGCTACTTTCGCCAATCTCTTGAGGGGGCGCCCGCCGAAAACCGCCCGCCGAGAGGCGCCTGCCGAAATCGGCCCGTTGCTTTCCCCAATCTCATCTGTGTCCGCTGGGACCTTTTCAGTGTAAGCATGTTGCTTGTCAGGCTTCTTGACACGAGACAGCTCCAAGACTGCTTCGGAGGAGCGTCTGGGAGGACGGCCCCAGAGGGCTCCAGAATGCTGAAGAGGGCCTCGGAGAGCTCCCTGTCGTCTCGACGCGCGCTCTAGAGAGCGCCACGACGGCCCAACATGCCCCCAGAAAGCCCCGATACGGCCCCGGGAAGGCCCCAAAGTGCTTCGAATACAGCCACAGAGTCCCATCACGGCATCCAGCTCGGGCTGATTCCGTGGTCGTCCAGGGGACTGCATTCATAATCATCATCATCATCATCATCATCATCATCATCATCATCATCATCATCATCATCATCATCATCATCATCATCATCATCATCATCATCATCATCACCAACACCATCACCACCTTCATCATCATCCTCATCATCATCATCGTCATCATCATCATCATCACCATCACCATCATCATCATCATCATCATCATCATCATCATCATCATCATCATCATCATCATCATCATCATCATCATCATCATCATCATTATTAGCAGTATCGTTATCATTATCATTATAGTTATCAGTATCGTTATCAGAAACATTCAGTTTCATTATCATTATCATTGTAATGGTCTCCGGCCAGTGCCGCCGATCCAAGGGGGCTCCGGATTCGGTGATCTTCGCGGCTCTGTGGCAACCTCCCTCCTCGATTCTTCTGGTCCTCTGTCTTCTCCTCTGGGGGGGTGCCTGGAGCGGTCCCGGGCGGGTTCCGGGGAGGGTTCCGAGGGGAGTTTCCGAAACATCCGGGGTATGCGCAAATCATTATGCAAACGCCGAATGGGGAACCGCCGCCCCCCCCCTCCTTTCCCCGGGGGAGGTCCGGATGCGCAAATCATGAATAAATCGCCAGATGTGGGCCCCCCCTCTTCCCCCCCTTCCCGGCAGAGCCACCTCGGCGACCCCCCCAGTATCATCATCATCGTCACTATCATCATCAACACAACCATCATCTTGTCGTCATCATCAGCTACAACGCCGGGATCAGTGCGTGCGAGAAGGGCGAGCAGTGGCAACGGGCTTTGGCGCTGCTCAGCGAGATGCGGGAGGCGAAGCTGGAACCCGACATTATTGGCTGCGATGCTGGGATCAGCGCGTGCGAGAAAGGTGGGCAGTTGCAATGTGCTACGTCATTGTTCAACGCGGTATGCGAAGTGACGTTATCAGCTACATCGTCGTTGGCATCGGCTTGCGCCAAAGGCGGGCGGTGGCAGTGAGACGCGTCGACGGTCAGCGAGATGTGATAGGCGATCTTGGTGCCCAGTGCCAACAGCTGTAAGGCCAGTGTAAGTGCGAGCGGGAAGGACGCGCAAGGGCAGCACGCTGTGTCGCTGCCCAGCGGGATGTGGGAGGGGAGGTTGAGTTTTTGCGTCATGAGCTGTAGCTCATGACGTTATCCAACGCGTGTATTCAAGGGCAGTCAGCAGCAGCAGGCTTTATCGCTGCCGAACGAGATGTGGAAGGCGATGTTGGAGCACAGCCTGACTGAGTACTTGCAGTGTGGTGGCCAGCGTTTGCGAGGAATACGAGCCTGGGAAGCGGGTTCTATCTTTGCTCAGCGAGATATTGAAGGGGCAATGGAGAGCTCAGCGACATCAACATTAGCTACAGCGGTGGCGTCAGTGTGTTCGAGAACGGCGATCAGTGACGGCTGGCAGTGTTGCTACTCCACGAGATTTGGCAGGTGAAGCTGCACTTCGACGTCATCGTCATATCGATAGCTTTCGATAATGCCTTCAGTGAATGACACCTTGCCCCAAATAAGTAGGCAGGAGACGACGGGGGCCCTTCGGGAACAGGGCAGACGAAGGAAGTCGGTTGCCTGGCAGGGCAAGTGCCACCGACGTCGGGGGCAGCCGGGGACAGGGCCAGCGGAGGAAATCGGCAGGAACGCATGACGAAGGAGCCTGGCGGCAGCGCGAGGCAAGCGCCGATGCTGGGGACAGTCGGGGGGCCAGGCCAGCGGGGGAAGCTGGTGCGGGAGGGGGCCAGCGAAGGAAGTCGCCGGGAACGCGGAGCTGGCACCATCAAGGCCAGGGACTGCTTAGGACAGGGCGGGGGCGGGGCTGGCGAGGGAAGCTGGCGACAGTGCAGGGCAAGCGCCGCCGGGCGATCACAACGCCCGCAGAGGAGCTCGGCGGCAGCGCAGGCCGAGAGCGCCAGAGGGGACAGTCGAGGAGAGGGGGTGATGATGACGATGACGATGACGACGACAGGCAGCTTGCGCTTGGGCCCCCCCTTCCACCTCTTGCTCCTGCCCCGTCGTCGTTCTCCGCGTTCTTCGCCTTCTCACCGCTCCGCCTCGTCCTTCCCTTTTCCCCCTTGCCGTTATCCTCGTTCTCCGCCTTGTCCTTCCATCTTCCCCCTCGTCGTCCTCCTCCCTCTCCTCCTGCTCCTCCCGACCCCTGGTGCTGCTGCAGCTTTTCCTCTTCGTGCGCCCGCCCGTCCTGCTGCTGCTGCTGCTGCTGCTGCTGCTGATCCTCGTCCTCCCTTCTGCTCTCCTCGTCGCCGTCGTCGTGGCCACGGTTCTCCTCTCGCTGCTCTGCGTTCGGTATCTGGTTTCTTCCGGCCTTTCTCCTCCTCGTCCTTGTCCTCTTCCCTTTTCTCCTCCCTTCCTCTTCACTCCGTGGCCGTCCTTGGCCACCCCGCTGCCCACTTGGTCTCTCGCTGGTCTCTCACACACCCAGGCAGTTCGCCTAGCACAGGTCGTGTGCGACAGTGCTGATAGGCTGTCATGGGAGTTCTGAGCCATTGAGGGCTTGTCGTGGGAGAAAAAAGTGTTCTGCGTTCGGTAACATGCGTGGGGGGTGTCACCCTCCCCGACAGGGGCCCACTTCGCGACGTTGGCGCATCGCGCCAGGGGGGGGGGGGGCGGCGCCTTTTGTGCAGGGTGTCTGCTCTCGGTCGGGGGTCGATCCAGGGCTGCCGGCGGGGGTGGCGCGAAACTTAGGCTAGAGTGTTCCCTCACATGCACTCCCGTCTCTCCGAGCCAGCCCTGCTCCTTTTGCCGTCTCCGTCGCCACCGCTGCTGCCCCTGCCCGCCGCCGCCTTCGCAACCGCCGCTGTTGCCATCGCGGCTGGTGACGTGTTGGTAGTCGTCGTCATCGCTGTCGGCGCCCGCTGCGCCCTCCCCCCTCCTCCCCTCCAGGCCCTTCCTGCTCCTGCTGCCGCCTCCGCTGCCACCTTCGCTGCCGCGCCGCTGCTCCTATGCCCTGCCGCTGCCGCTGCCGCCGCTTGCCGCCGCTGCCTCCCACGCTGCCAGCTGGTAGTGGTCGTTCTCATCGCCGTTGGAGCCCCTTGCGCCCTCTACAACTACACATTGTGAGACTATTAGTGCTGCTCCCCTCTCTCATCCGAAGACGTGATTCGAGTAGCGCTCCTCCCTCCGCGCATTGTTTTCTACACAAGACTGTCGCGAGTTATTTTTTATGTGTTGTTGCCATCCGAACGATCTAAGTCACTCCAACATGGTGCTTATCTTCGGATTGGCTCCCGTCGTTCAGACTGGCGCTCTCGCCCCAGAGCGTGCCACTCTTCTGGATCCCCCTCCTTTCCCCTCCTCGTCCTTCCCCTGGTCCTCCTGCTCCTCTTGCTCCTTCCACTCCAGCTCCTGCTGCTGCTTTTCGTCCTTGTCCCGTTCCTTCCTCATCCTCCTTATTTTCCTCCTGCTCCTCTTCCTGCTCATCCTCCACCTCCGTACGCAGCTCTTCTGTTCCGATTGCGCATAACACGATAAAAGGGGTCTTTTTCGGAGTGCAGGTCCGTTACGACATGCGCCGCCGGATAGAGACACATCAGAGGAGTGGGAAGGGATCGGTAGGAGGGATGGGTTGTCGGACATGGCGCGGGCGCACCTGGTTTGCCCCCGCCCCCTCTCTCCGACCCCGTCCTGCCCTCGAGAAACAGCAAATGGCATGAAGATACACTTTCGGAGGTCCGCGCGGATTGCTTGGATCGGCGCTGGACCCCCCTCCCTGGCGCGCGCGCCGATCCAAGCAATCCGCGCGGACCTCCGAAAGTTTATGTTCATTCATGCCGTTTGCTGTTCCTCGATGATCCTGCTGTCGCTCCCACCGCCGCCGCCACTGCTGCTCCCGCCACTGCCGCCGCCGCCGCTGCCGCCACCGTGGCCGGCTGACGGCGGTCGTCGTAGCCGCCGTCGGCGCCCTGTGCCTGCCGCCGCTCGTGCTTCCCTCTCCGCCTCTTCGTCTACAGCTGGCACGAGGGGGGGGCGCTCAGGCCATCCCCAGCTCAGGAGAGGCAACACTGTGCTCTTCGTGTGCTGTTTCCACGGGCGACCCGCGTTCCGAACGCCAGCCCGCCCGACGGCCCGTTCCGACCCCCCCACGGCCCGACGGGCGGGCTGGCGGCACGCCCACTGAATCAGCCTCCTGACGCGATCCAGCCCTGGCCCTCCCCCGCACCCCGCGAGGGACGGCCCACTCCTACACCCCCCCTTCTCGTCCACGGGGTCTCTCCCGTGCGCCAGGCGGCTAGCGGGGGCCGGAAGGAGAGGATCTTCGACAGGAGCGGCCGCTTGGAAGCATAGGATTGAGGCGGACGAGGTGGATCGGTAGGTGTGCGCGGGGAGGTTCTTCAACTCGCTGCTGCTGCTTCGCATCGGTACCCTCGCTTCTTGTGCGCTTTCTCTTTCCCCTGCGCTGTTCTGTCGCTCTTCCTTTGCTTTCCACTTGAGTCTGCGCGGGTGCCCCTGAGCCAGACGCGACATCCTCCGCGGCGCGTCCGCCCCTCCTTGGAGAGCACGGGGAGGTGGAGGAGGCTTGTCTATCTACGCTTCTTTCTGCCGCGTGGCCGTGGCACCATTGCCCGCGCTCGTTGTTTCAATGAGGTCTGGCACTCAGGCACTGCGGGCATTGCCTAACCTCGAGACAGAGCATTCGTTGGAGCATTTGCGCAGCACAGCGTGCAGTAAGAGAGAACTTGAGGAAGGAGGGTCGGGCATCAACCAACCGAACGGTTGGCCGACGCCTGAGCTGTAGCCACTGCTACCTGACGCTCCGCCCCAGTAGCAAGGCCCGTCTTGGGAGGCCCTGCGTAACTGGGAAACTTGTCTTGCGCAATTCTCGCGGCCCTTCCTAGCAGTATTAGAACATTCAGCAGCCAGCTGACTCCCGTCAACGGTAGCTGTACGACCGCAATGGCGGCAAACATACATGCTGAAACGATCCCAGAAGTCCAGGCGATAAGATTTGCTGAGCGCGAGACCACAACCCTCCACTGGCCCAGGAACCGAAACGACAGCGTCTTTAGGCCACCTCTGGGCCGCATCAGAGACGCAATCGGAAGCACAACACTCCAACAGTTTGGCCCAGGTCGAGAGACCACCACACCTGGAACATCTGCAACGCTTGCCGCGCTTAGAATTACAGTTAGCGCTAACGCGGGCGGCTCTGTCCCTTTTGGTTCTCGGGCGAGCGCGCAGGGACCTCCAACGAATCCTTAGACTTGATGGGATCTGCCGCAGCCGCGTCAGCAAGGGCTCTGCGGGTTCTTCTCCTGGCCAGAGCCGCAGTTGTGTCCCACTGGTCCGTGGAAGGAGCATCAGAGACAAGGCCTAGAATCCAATTGCGCTTCGCAGCCTCGCCAGCTGCTGCGTCAGCCACAGTGTTGCCAACGGCGAGAAACCTCTCTTGGTCAGAAAGGCTTGGATCGTCTGGATCAGCGTGGGAGGGAGTCCAGTCAACAGAGACTTCGCCTTCACCTCGGCTCCCACGAGCCCTCCTCATGCGCAGCCGAAGATCCCCGATCTGCCCGTCACGATCCCGAACCCTCCCCCTGTCCCAACCGACAGAACGAGGTTTGTGACCCGCAACAGACCAGATGGAACTGTCTTGGAGCCTTCGAGGGCTAAAGCAAATGCGGTGGGGTCTGATCTAGGCACAGTCTGAATGTGGCCAGCCAGGTCCGCCGAGACCCCTCCGAGAACCTCGACGTCCTGGTCACCTGCCGAGTGATAACAGCGCCGACGCCGCACCGACGGCGACGAGGGTCGGAAGAGACTCCCCCCCCAACCCGCCACCAAAAAGGGCAATGACCACGCTTGACACACACACAGCACTTCTCGATAGACCGCTCGCGGACCCAAAGGGGTTGACGGCGCACTTTTCTTCAGAAACCGCTGGATGAGTGAGCCCTGCTGGAGCAACTCCTCTGAGCCGAGCCACATACCTGGGGAGGCACCCGCGCCAGAGCCACACACTGTGCATCAAGGTTTCGGGACACTTCTCGCAACGAGGGCATAGCTGGTCTTCAGGAGAGCCTAGGGAACCCTCCCAACTCGAACTCGGGGCCACTGCCCCCCCCCCAACCACAGCCATAGTGAGGCCGTGCTCAGTGAAATGTCCTTCCTTAGAAAACCGAAGCAGCTCTCTCGAAAAACGAGCAGGGGATCTCGTCCTTCTTTTGAGTCAGCTCCTGCCTCGTGCTGGACCGCTGCATCCCACAAGTGTGCCCTGAGGTTGCTACACGGTTCGTCAAAGGGCTCAGAAGCATCATGATAAGTAGGGTCGCTGCGTAGACACGGGGATGAACCAATCCTCGCCAGGGCCGCTGGGAGCGCGACGCTGTCAGACTGAGGCCTCTCTGGGATCCCACCCCACGTCAAGCAGGCCTGACCAGCCGAAGCTGGAACCCTGACGTTGCGCCACCTGCCTCGGCCCGACCGTCTGAGACGGCGAAGCGAGGACTCCCAATCGTGCTAACAAACGAGAAGCTCGGAAATCAGTTGCCTCCTGAGTTCAACTCCAGGGTCTTTCAATCCGCCATTCGCTTCGACCACCGTGGTGAGACAACGCCCAGGCAGCTTGCCACGGGCCGACGTCGCGGCCTGCCTGAGAAGTTTGAGCACGCTGCTGGGCGCACGCCCTTGCACCTGGTGGGCGTGCGAGCCCTGAGGCAAAGCTCCACTGGTC